TTAATGTAATTTGGGGGTACTCTTTCACTGATTTTGGTTAATTTAGCTAGGGGGTCAGTCTTTATATTTTCAAATAACCAAATCTTTGTTTGATTGGTTTTATGCATGCTTCTTTTAACCTCCATTTCATTAATTTATTCCCTGATATTTGTTTTTATTAATTAAATTTGTTACTTGACAACTTCATATGTGCATTTAAGGCATTCTGATTACCATCTCACTCACCTCTAGAGCTGGGAAGGGTAGGGTCCCATGAGCCCCTCTCCAATTCCTGATTGACTGCTGACAGGCCCAGCCTGTGTTGGCTGCCCCATTTGCTGAATCATCAAGTTCTCAATGGCCTTTTCATGCTCTGGAGGTAGGAGATAGAATTTCTCAGTTCTTTAATCCTCCAGCTATTACATTCTTTCCACCTCCTCTTCCGCAGTGTTCTGTCTTCAGCTGTATACTCACTGGTGAATTCATCAGGCTCCATGAATGATTTTATTATTTTTTTGCTGTATACTCTTTATTTAAAGTAGATGTAGAAATAATAAAGAGGCTAAAGAAAGGAGGTAGAAAAAGAAGTAGAGGAGAAAGAAAGTTAAATAAAGAGGATAAAGAAAAAGAGGAATGTAGAAGAATGTTAGGAACCAGAAGAGAATGTGCAAGAATTAGAAAAAAGAAAATAGTTGCCAGTGATGAGGAAGGTCCAAAAGAAAACTGAAAAGTCTTCAAATCAAATGAAAAGGAATGAAACTTAAAATATAAGATTTAAAATCTTATATAATATAAAATATATTTTATATCTTATATAAAATATAAGATTTATACTTCTTACTTAAGAAAGTAAGACAAAGTTATAATATGGAGTAAGGGAAATATAGGGCAAAGAATAAAGGAGGATGGGGAGGAGGAAAAAGAAAATAAAAATGATTGCCTAATAATGAAAAGAATGCATAATTAAGATAGGTGAATGTATGAGAGGGAATTTATAAAACACAAGTTGTAAATATGACAAACTAAAAATACTACTGAGAGGATAGACAAAGGGGAAACACACTAGGGACAGAGACAACAGGAAAAAGAAAAAGATAAAGCGCTGGTGTAGCTTCCCTTTAGGTCCTCACATATTGGAGGCTGCAAGATCATGAGCAGGTCTGTTGAATTTGTGGATTCCTATCTTTCCCATGATGCTGAGCAGTCTGCCCAACCTGCCTTCACCTCAGTTTCCCTTCTTTCAGGGGCCTCTTCTGCAACACTTTGCTTTGCAGTTTGTGGCTTGAGCAGGAACTCTCACTGTCCCAAGATTCCAGAGATTGTACCGCCTGGGATGTCTAATGCTCCAGGTGGGGGTGTCTCCCAAATGCATTCTGGATCCGGGAAGCAACCACAGCACTGAGATCTGTACAGGTGGAAGACCTAACTTTGTACTTCCAAGACCTTTGAAATATTAATCACTGCTGGAGGGATGCAACTGTAACTGTCAAGTAACCCATTGGCGCTTCAGAGTTCTTAGGTTCTATGCCAGTGAACATTTCTAAATGTTAGGCCACCCGCTGACCTTGGGCTCAGGGAAATCAAACTCTAGTGTTATTCTGAGTTGATGAAATGTACTCCCAGACATTAAGGGGGGGCTACTTTTAATGTGATTTCACTGCCTGAGATGGAGCTTCCTACCACCTGCATTTTTATGTTCATCAGTATGTAGTCTGCTTTCCACAACTGCCTCCCAGGGCTGTTTCTCACATTGGAGTGCCCTGCCCAGATCTGTCTCCAGTGACCATGAGGCGAGCTGGGAACAACAGCAGCTCTCAGGAGGTACTGGCAGCTTCCTTCACAAATGCTCTCCTCCCAGCAAGAGCTGGATGCCAACTGGGAAGCATTCTCCTGTCTTCCACCTGACTTCTGGAGTCTTTGTAGATGGTCTAGGGATGACTGTAGAGCACTCTAGAAAGTAAATGGCTGTGATGGGGAACATTTGGTCTCTGTCTCTGCTTCAGGGGAGGGCAAGTGTGACAGCAGATGGAAGACCTAGAACCTTTTAACAAGAAGGCATAGATCAGCAGAAGGCCTACAGCCACAGAGCTTGTCAGCAAAGCAGATCAAGACTAGTCATTAAGTCTTGAGAATCACCTCCTACTCCTCTGTCAGCAAAAAAAGAAGTAAGACTAGTCAGGTACAAGGTTTGAATCTTCCCAAGGCCCTTCTAGTTGGCCCTCTCATATCTCTGTGACCATTGCCCACTTGAGGCCACATACCACATGACATAGGTATCTATCTCATTCAGAGCCATGGGCAGTCCCCAGTTCCATACTAGCTTTCTGCCAAATCCCAACAGCCTGGCCCAAAGTCATCCAACTCCACTGCCTGTTCCTTGTTAGGACCTGGAAGGGAGAAAATGCCAGGGCCCTCTCTGTTGAGGGAGATGAGTCCCCACTGTCCCCAGGTACCGTGACATTCCTTCTACATTAGATTTCTGGGACTTTGAAATGGTACCCACAAACTCGGTGGCTCAAAACTAGGAAAATTCAAATTTCTGAAGTTCTGGAGGTGCTGGAAATTCAAAATGGAATTGTTGGGAGGATTGCATCTTCCTAGAGGTTGTAGGGGAGTCTGCCATGCCTCTCTCCTGGTTTCTGGTGGCTGCCGGCCATTTTTACCATTTCTTGGTTTGTAGACATGTGACTCTGGTCTCTGCTCCCATTATCACACAGCCTTATTTCTACTGTGTGTCTCTGTTCTGTTATGTGCCATTAAGGACACTAGTCATTGGATTTTTCACCCACTCTAATCAAATATAATCTCTCCCTAGGATCTTTACATTTGCAAACATTACCTTTATTCTAAATAAGGTAATATTCATAGGTGCTAGGGGCTATGACTTGAACTTACCTTTTGAAGAGAAAACAACTCAAACCATTATGCATCCTAATACCTCTGGAACAGAACAGCTGTCCAAGGAAGTATGGGAGCAGAAGCTAGTGTTGGGGGAACTTGTGGAAACCATTGGTCTTTGAGGATTCTCCATAAGGAATTTCCTTGCAAGACCATCATAACTCCCAGATTCCTCTCTCTACCTTTAACCTGGAGAATTATGCATACACTGACACTTGGAAGGCATGGCCTTGTGTTGGAAGCCCTTGAAGCCTTGAGACCTTCAGAGTGCACAGTCTTGGGTGGAAGGTGCTGTGCTCTGTATCCCCAGTCATCTTGCTATTGTCCCTTACTGTCACCTCTTTAGAAGCTAATGTTCAGCTTCTAGGGATGTCATTTTTAAATAAACTTATTTTGTAGTCCTAATAGCTTTGGACTTTCTTTTCTACACACAATTAGTTCAAGTTCTAAGGATAAAGCCAGGCTGCTGACATGGTTTTTTCTCCCGCATGTTGTGTATGATGCTCAGAAGGAACTCTTGAAGATGCCTTGAGACAGCTGTCTTGGGCCACCACCCTCCCTTCAATGTTATTAATAACACAGGCAAATGCATCAAATGCATGAGAAATAGGGAAGGTGGAGGCTTGAGAACCAAGGGGGTACACATGGCTGCAGGCGCCTACTGACCCAGTTTTCCTCCTTAGATAGACTCTCTCCTCTAATCACTCCTGTGTCTTGTCTCTTTTCAGGACTCTTCTTCAGCTGGACCTATTCCCACAGCCATCCCACGAGCTGCTGCAGTAGCTGGAGAACAGAGCCCGTCTCCCAAAGTCCAGCTGCCCCTCAATGTGTGAGCTGTCCTTTATATCTGTCAGCATTCTCTGCACACTGGCATTCACGCAAGTGGTTTCTAGTGGGATTTTTGGTGGTTTCCAGCTCATCAGTGTAGTTATGTACACCTAGTAGTGTTGCCGAAAAGGAAAATGCAGAAACAAAGTCCAGCAAGGTCTTTTAACATTGTTGTCTCCAGGATAGTTATGAGAAATAGGAGGAATTCAAAATATCTGACAGCATATGCACGGGTCTATCAAGAAAGGAGCCAACCATAGCTCGGAGTGGGTCTCAGAGATCCCTGAGATCTGGGGTGGCTAGAGGAGGGAAGGGTGTGGCAGAGCTGTAGGCAGGGCTGGGAGCACGGGCAGCAGCTTGGTCTTGCCTTCCCAGAAACAGCGAGTATTCACCCACCCTAAGTGCCTTCCTCAGGCAGGCCAGCTGCATGTCAGCCCCAAATATAACCACATGAATCACTGCTAGGAAGTGAGGTGTTTATCTTGTTGAGGAAATTTGCTCTGCTAAATTACAGCTTTTAAAAGATATGTGGAATTTTAAAACTCCCACTTAAATAGCCTTCTATAGAATTAGATGGGCTTCTGCATTTGGCAATGAGTTCACTCTCTTGAATGGATGCTTTAAGGTAGAGCAGATAAATTTGGCAGCTATACGTAAGGACAGAAAAGTCCATCAGTCCAGGCAAGTCAGTGGGATACTCAGAACCTGTGTGCTACAGAATGAAATGTTAGAGGAAAAATGCTTTTGGACAAAATAACTTGCTAAGTTCAAATTTTTCCTACAAAGCTGGGCTTATTGGGGGCACTCCTTTAATCCTGTCACTCAGGAGGCAGAAACAGGCAGATCTCTGTGAGATCAACACCAGCCTTGTCTACATAGCAAGTTCCAGGCCAGCTGGGGCTAACAGGAGACTGTCTCAAAAAGAAAAGTTTTCTAGAAGCAGCTTAACCACCCCAGTGCACTCTCATCTAGCTCACCAGGCTAAGTCCAGATGTTGGCATGGATAAGAAAGTTCTGAACACCTTCCTTTTATTTGCCCATGTTCATGATTAACCAAAATGATTACAGAAAACTGAAATTTATTCATTTTCCCCCTGGCTTAGTAAGTGATATCACAGGTTAGTCTTTAGGTTAAAATTCACGTTTTCACCAACACTGGACATAAGTATAGTCAGTGCCACTACATTTGGGAGTCCAGTTATCTTTTAATTCAAGAACCCATGGATGAAGAATATTCAAGAAGAAATTTCAGAGAGTTCCTAAAAGCAAACCTTGGATTTTCCATGCACCAATTACTATGCTGAATCCACATGTGTGAAGTGATGTGCAGACAGTGTATTCAGTATTATGTCACCTACCGTAGAGATGAGTTAAGTATACAAGAGAATGTGATAGGTTATATGTAAATACTGTGCTATTCTTTATAAGGGACATGGATTTTAGTATCCTGGGGGTCCTAGAGCCAATCCCCTGTGGATCCTGAGGGACAACTCTCCTATATCTGATTGTGTTCCTAGGTCTGCTTCTGTGTTTTCATACTAAGCCAGTGGCCAAGAAAAGTAAGAAGGATGAAAAACTGGATGGAGGGCACCATCCCCAAGGAAGGAGGCCCCTGTCCACAGGGGTTGGTTCTGATACAGTTCCCCAAATGAGAGGCAGGGCACAAGCTAGGTGATGAATCTGGATTCAATTTGGCATCCTTACAACTAGCTGAATGCTCAACAACTACCTACATTCCCCCGTAAATCAAAGCATCCTCTTCCTGGCTTTGGAAGTCTCCAATTTTTATGTATCAGATCAGTCACCAAAAAAGTCTTCTATAGTTTTGAGACTCAGGAGTTATGAGTGCTCCAAATATGTTATTGAGGCCTCAGCTGTGGTCACCATCATGTCCTGGATGTCTCTTCACTTTGACACAAAGCACAAAGGGCCTTTTTCCTTCCCAGACCCCTCTACTGTAGAAACAAGGTCACTGGGACCTACAGCTCTCCCCTTCCTCCCTTCCTACCTCACCCCCAGGGGATGTTGTCACTGTTGAGACTTCCATCTGCGTAGCTGTAAGGGAGACTTACTTATCAGATTATGTCCTTGAGTAGCAAAGACTTGGGGAAAGTGAGTCTGGAAGATAGCATACTGGTGATTTGAGCAGTAGATGAATTGAGGCCTTCTGAGGGGCCAGAGCAAACTTAAGAGTATACATTCCATAGCTGTCTACTGAGTTGCAAGACTATGCTTAGAAATCTCACACGTGTTGCAGAAATAGTCACAATCCACTTTGAAAAAATGACCATTAAAATCACATTTTATGTTATTCCCAGGGAACAAAAGATCAAATTGACTCTATCAGTTTATCAAGTAGGGCACTAGCCTGACCACCATCCACATACTTTGGTACAATTTTTCCTTAACTGACTATTCTTACTCAAACAGTAGCTGTGAGACATGTTCAAAAAATCTAAATTTGGCCCAGCATGGTGGCACATGTCTTTAATCCCAGAACTCAGGAAGCAGAAGCAAGCATATCTCTGTGAGATTGAGGCCAGCCTGGTCTACATAGCAAGTTCCAGGCTAGCAAGGGCTACAGGGAATGCTCCTCCATGGTCTCTAATTCAATTCTGGTCTCTAAGTTCCTGCCTTGAGCTTCTGCCCAGACTTCCGTCAGTGATGCATTATGACCTGGGAGTTGTAAGATGAAACAAACCATTTCCTACCCATGTTAGTTTTTGCCAGTGTTTTATAATAGCAGTAAACAAGTAATTAGGACAGAAATTGGTAGATAGAGTAGGATATTGATGTGGAAAGACTGACTATGATGTTTCAGGGAAGATTGTGGAAGTTTTGGAACTGAAAGTTTTGGAAGTGAAACGTTTGTTTTACTAGGATAATCAGTGCTGGTTAGCTGGGATTGAAAAAGCAGCTGTAGGACATGGTGGTACACACCTTAAACCTCAGCACTTATCAGGCAGAGGCAGGTGCATATCTCTGTGAGATTGAGGCCAGCCTGGTCTACATAGCAAGTTCCAGGCTAGCAAGGGCTACAGGGAGACCCTGTCGTAAAGCTAAATTTGAACATAAGATGAGTAAAATATTTGTAAATATTTTACTAAATATTTTTACAAAAAATATTTGTAAAAATAACTACAGCAGCTGTGCACCAAGGACCAAGGAGGAAGGGAGAGTACAAAAGGATCACTGCATGACTGAGTAGCACTGATCAGGTAGAGAACAGGAGGAAAGCAACAGAACCACTGTTGTCCTGTTCAGCAACCCAGCAGTGTGAGGCATCTCATGTGAGCAAAGCTGACAGTCATGGCCTGGACAAGAAGGCACAATACAGTCCCCAGATTCATAAACCAATCTGAGGTATGATTCACTTAGGGGTGGGTTGTCTGCATTACCCAGGACCAGCTTGGCAGCCAGTTCAGAAGACAGTCAGATAGTTGCTTCTGGGAAAGTGCCTCCAACATGGAGAAGATAACTTCAACAGTCAGTGGGATGTGATTCAAATACTTCCCATTGCAGGTACCTTCCCAGATAACAGCTGGGAAACCTCAGGGAATTCAGAAAAAGACAGGAAGAAAAGGGACGGCATCGTAAACCAGGAAAAGGAAGCTCAACGGAACAGAGGCCTCTAATGCTGTGGTGGAGACTGGGTCTCTGAATGCAGTTGTTAACATTGGCCACATGAAATGTGTTCTGCACAGCAAATAGGGGCCACCTACAGGCTATCCCTTCTCATGACCTTGGCACTGTTTGATGTTCAGAGACCACTGAGCCATTCTTAAGAGCAATGTGGGCTCCACTTTCTGGGGTACTGAAAAAGACTGATGCAGCTATACACAATTCATCACAGACTCATGAAACAACCAACTCTGCCCTGCAATGGGATGCATTCATACAATCAGACTTACTAAGACGAGTCAGCCAAGACTTATCCAGTCTAGAGTAGAAAGTCCTCAGGTGCTGTCCTCCAGAAGTGTATTGGAGGCCAGCCTCCAAGTCATCCTTGACAGGCAGCACCCCACTGGCTCCTCCCTATCAGAGGCTCCACTGTGCTAACCAGGCTAGGTCACATCACAACATCTGCTCCCAGGAAAGGGGTGCACAGCAGCAGAGTGCATGAGGCAAGTCACCTCATCACCTCACTGTACCAGGGCCTGCTCTGTCCTGGAAGACTTACCTGACCTTCCTATGCAGACTTTCACTCAGGACTCCTCTTGGTGCCTGTCACTTTATATAGAGGGAGCTCCTGCACAGATCCTGTCTACCATCTGTGTCTCTGAAGGCCACCCAATAACCACTGAACAGAGTAATGGATTGGTGGACATACATATCACCAGCCTACACCTGGGTGGCTCTAACAGAAAAAATGAAGAAAGGACCCCTTGTAGGAGGAATGGGGACACATCTTTCACTTACTAGAAAAGAAATATGAGCAAACCACCATCTGGAGAAGAAAGGGTGTGAAATGAGCGGAGGCACTAAAATAGTCTGATTCAGTCCATGATTAGAACGGAAGGGAAATCTGCAGGCAACTGCAAGCAAAGAGCTTGCCGAAGATACAGTGATGGTCAGCAGATTGTGTGACAACTAGCTGCACGTGGACACCCAGTACCCCACCCAGACACCACAGCTGCCAGCTTGTCCAGTCTGAGCACTGCCCTGAGGCACCAGGCATAGGACACAAGGCTGGGAGTAAGCCCCTGAATATAGGCACAAATTCATGCTGGAAGTGACTTTTCCTTGGCCACCTGCTAACAAGAGGCACCTTTTCTAATTGGCACAAAAGTCACATCCAGGATGCAGGGTGGTAGTGAGCCAATCCATGGTGGTGGCCCAGCTGACCTAAATGTGGTAGGAGACTGGCTTGAACACTCTAGAAGGCCTATGTTGAGCTAATAAAGCCTTCTGAAGCAGGTGGAAAGGAAGAGCCAGAAGAATGCCATCCACAGATATACCTGGCTCTCCCCAGATCCATGCCAGGCCCTGGACACATGTACA